GCTAAAATCATCAAAATACCGAATATAGGGAGGTACCGTTATATAGGGGCCCTACGAAGACGTGGACCTGCACAGACATTTTTCTGTCATAGGCTGTAGTATCTTTTACGAACTTCAAATACCAAATTTGAAACAATTCCGGTAAATAATGTCGCTAAACTCATCAAAATACCGAATATCGGGAGATACCGTTATATGGGGGCTATACGAAGACGTGGACCTGCACAGACATTTTTCTGTCATAGGTTATAGTATTCATTACGAACTTCAAATGCCAAATTTGAAATAATTCCGATTAATAATGTCGCTAAAATCATCAAAATTCCGAATATCGGGAGGTACCGTTGTATGGGGGCTATACGAAGACGTGGACCTGCACAGACAATTTTCTGTCATAGGCTGTAGTATCCATTACGAACTTCAAATACCACATTTGAAATAATTCCGATTAATAATGTCGCTAAAATCATCAAAATTCCGAATATCGGGGGTACCTTTATATGGGGGCCATACGAAGACGTGAACCTGCACAGACAACTTTCTGTCATAAGCTGTAGTATCCATTACGAACTTCAAATACCAAATTTGAAACAATTCCGATAAAAAATGTCGCTCAAATCATAAAAATACCAGCATATCGGGAGGTACCATTATATGGAGGCTATACGAAGACGAGGAACTACATGGCCCATTTTTTGTCTTATGCTGTACAAACTTCAAATACCAAATTTTAAACAATTCCGGTAAATAATGTGGCTTTAATCATCAAAATACCGAATATCGGGAGGTACCGTTATATGGGGGCTATACGAAGACGTAGATCTGCACACACAATTTTCTGTCATAGGCTGTAGTATCCACTACGAACTTCAAATACCAAATTTGAAACATTTCCAGTGAATAATGTCATTTAAATCACTAAAAATACCGAAGGAAGGTACCATTATATGGGGGCTATACCAAAACGTGGACCTAGTACATGGTCCATTTTCAATACCAAAAATCCTGCAGACATAATATACATTTGCGTAAAATTTTATCAAACTACTTCATTTCGTTCGGAAGCTAGAGTGATTTACACAGATGGATAGACGGCAGATGGAAATCGACTAGAATTTTATGCTGATCAAGAATATAAGTATATATATTGTGGGGTCTAAAATGTATATTTCGAGGTTTTACAAACCGAATGACAAATGTAATATACCCTCCATACTATGGTGGAAAGTATAAAAATGATGCTTTGAGTAGAGATAGCAAAAGGTATTTGTTAAGATTACTCAAAACTGTGACTTTAGGCTGATGTACCAAATGGGCAAGCCAGATCTAACATTGGAAGAAATTTATAGAATAATTTCACACTTTATGAGTGTTGTAATTATTCAAAATGTTAACACTTTGTGGTAGAGGTATAATAAGGAGTGGAGTGGATTCGAAGTATCAGCCAAATCGCTTTATATGAAATTCGTATATACGCTTTTAAAGCCAATCAAAATTGAAAACGAAACTTAGCAATGTAGCATTCATTCGGCTGTTTTTAAATATATTCTGCGATTTTGTACTAAATTTAAATTGTATTCTTGTAGCACTTATAAATAAATGAGAATGAAATGCTAAATTATACAAAAATATATAAAATATAACTCATTTTATGATTTACCATTGAATATCGGTAGAATGAAAACACGGAATTATGAATGAAAAGTGTATATTTAATTTGACAGCACTGTTGTTATGCGACAGTTTTAATTTAGTCTCTAACTTGCCACAAAAGAAAATCCGTTAATTACTTCTAAAATTATAAATATTTGTAGATTAAATGATTTAGAAAATAATACAAGGCCTCGGCCACATTTTTTGTTTCACATATTACTTATTTTTACTCAGCGACCTCTTTTGTGAAACACTAAATACAAAATATTTTGCAATTTAACTAAATTGTCTTCAATGGTTTGCAACTTAGATAAGTGCAGCGGTCGTATTCAACCGTTCAACAAAGCTGAAAATATAGATGGCAGTGCCATGAACAGAATGTTACAATGCAAAACGTGTCATCATTTGATACGACCAAAGCGAGATAGGTCGTATGATAGGTGAAGTTACTTGCCTCACCTTTAAATTTGACTGATGATCCAATTTAAAACAATGAGAGAGATTTGAGGGAGGAACACCATAATGATGATTTTTGTAAAAATCAGTTACATATTTTCATACACCACATACGAGGCCGGTTCGGAAACTTCTTAGGCTATCAATGAAAGAAAATAGCTAGTTTCATTTTTTTTATTTTTCAATATAATCGCATGAAACTTCAATACACTTAGTCCAACGCTTTTCTAGTAATTCTATCCCTTGATTAAAAAATAGTTTTCCTCAAGGTCCTCACGATAGTGGTTTACAACTGTAATTGCATCTTCATTTGAGCTAAAACACTTGCCAGGAAGGATTTTTTTTAGATTTGAGAACAAGTAAAAGTCACTGGGAGCTAAATCAGGTTGTGTTCCCACAGAGATGAATGTTTCCAGGTAGCTAAGAAGTTTCCGAACTACCCTCGTAGTGGTAAGGGTATTATATCTTTCTGCATTTGTGTGTAACATGGAGAAGGAAGCCAGATAGACCCATAGTTAATTTGCGAATCTTCATAGAATCACTTTCTGAGTCGATTTATGCATGTCAGTCCGTCCGTCCATGCATTTTTCTGAACAAAATACACCTCGCAAAGACGAATCATATTGAAACTGGTAAGATATTAGATTTAGATAGGATGTTTGAAAATTGAAAACAATCGGGCTCTTACATCATATTTTTTAAGACTTATGATTATTCAAAACGTTGATCCTTTGTGGGAGAGGCACTTGATAGAGTGGACCGATATTGTCTATTTCCGCACCAGACCTAGCACTTACGGAAATATTAGGATTTGCAAAGTCGGAGCAAAATTGGATTATCGTTTCTTTTTCTGTGCAAAAAAAAAATATTTTTTTTTGAAAATTTCGACCATTTGTGGGGGAGGTACCAGAAGAAGTCGACCAACTTAACACCAGACCTTGGGATAATATAAATATTGGGATGTTCGAAATTTGAAGACAATCGGACTCTTACATCATATTTAATGAGAGTTCTTATTATTCAAAATGTTGACCATTTGTGGGGTAGGTACTTGATGGAGTGGACCGATATTGTCTATTTTCACATATGACCTAGTACTGACGCAAATGTTTGCAAAGTTGGAGCAAAATCGGATTATCCTTTCTCTTTCTGTGCAAAAAAAAAATATTATTTGCAAATTTCAACCTTTTGTAGGGGAGGTACAAGAAGGAGACAGTCAGACAGACGGACGGACATCGCTAGATCAACTCCAAATGTTCTGAAATGGATTTGGTCCAAAGAGGCCTAGGGTCTAAAACCGTTATTTCGACTAGGCACGTTTTGGCCGTATCAAATGATATATACCCTCTGTAGCCATATGGTTGAGGGTATAAAAAAACAGCTAAGTTCGCCCGACCGAACTTTTAATACCCTCCGCCATTTGAAAGGAACTTAAAAAAAATCGGAAACTACGACTTAAATGAAAACCATTCTATGGGGACTATACGAAGACGTGGACCTGCATACGAAATTTTTTGCCATAGGTTGTAGTACCCATTACGAACTTCAAATATGAAATTTTTAAATAATGTCGCTAAAATCATGAAAATACCGAATATCGGGAGGTACCGTTAAAGAAAAATAGCGTGATTACAACACACAGACTGACAGACAGAGGGACGGGTATAGCTAGATCGCCTTAGAATTATTAATTACGCTGATCCAAAATATATATACTTTGTTGGGTCTAAAATGATTATTTCGATGAATTACAAACGGAATGACGAACTTAATATACCCTCCATACTTTTTTGGTGGAGGGTATAAAAAAAAAAAACAAGTAAAAACGCTGTAAGTTCGGCTAGGCCGAACTTTTAATACCCTCCACCATTTGGAACGTATTTGGTAATTCTCAAAAACAATTAGATCCGTTAAAAATTCTGTTAAAATTTTAAAAATACCGAATGTAGCTGTTATATTAGGGTCTATATGATAAAATGGGCCTACATAAGTAACATTTGTCATAATCCATTACAATATTCAAATGCGAAACTTAAGAAAAATGGGTAATAATTTAGATAAAATCATAAAAATAGCGAATATCGGGAGGTACTGTTATATAGGGGATATACGAAGACGTGGAACTGCACAGACAATTTTCTGTCTTAGGCTGTAGTATCCATTACGAACTTCAAATGCCAAATTTGAGACAATTCCGGTGAAGAATGTCGCTAAAATCATTAAAATACCGAATATCGGGAGGTACCGTTATATGGGGGCTATACGAAGACGTGGACCTGAACAGACAATTTTCTGTCTTAGGCTGTAGTATTTATTACGAACTTCAAATGCCAAATTTGGAACAATTTCGGTGAATAATGTCGCTAAAATCATCAAAATACCGAATATCGGGAGGTACCATTATATGGGGGCTACACCAAAACGTGGACCTACATAGTCCATTTCCAATACCAAAAGTCCTGCAGACATAACATAAATTTGCGTAAAATTTTATCAATCTACTTCAATACGTTCGGAAGCTAGAGTGATTTCCACCGACGGACGGGGTCTAAAATGTTTATTTCGAGGTGTTACAAACGGAATGACAAACTTAATATAACCTCCATACTATGGTGGAGAGTATAATTACAACACAAATATTTCGATATATATTATAATTTTGTTTTATTATATTTTATTGATAATTTTTAGATTAGAATGATCTTCTAAATACAATGAGGGTAGAATATGGTCTAATTAATTGGTGAAATTACAGATTTACCCATGGAGATAATGAATTGAAGATCTTTAATGTTATACAGTTACAGTTTATATACATACGCATATTACACTCATTTATACATATTGACAACGTTTTAAATTTGAAATAAATATGAATCGTGTTTCTTTAGATCTAGAATATACCCAGTGATTGAAATCGTGATGGCATCATAAACTTTACTGACTTCAAACACTGCTTGCACCACTATATAAACGCCGAACAATATTCGATTAACAGCAGGTCAAGTTACCTTCTGTAGCGAAAATGAAATCAATCATCGTTTTGGGCGTTGTACTAGCCTTTGTTGCCTCATCCTATGGCGGTTCTGATAATCCAGGTTGGTACACAATTTTCTTTTTAATTTTGACGATTTTCATTAGTTAAAAATAATGCTTATGTAATATTTTAATAATTATTTTATTACCAAATTTAGACGCCGTACTTGCCCTTCAAAATGTGAAAGACTCCGTTCTTGTTGTTATTGTAGAAGGTCAGCTTAAGGCTGCCGTCGAAACTACGGATACAGTAACCATCAATAACCTCTACAAGCAGCTGCTGAAGGGCAAGAAATACGATACTTCACTGGTAGAATTTACCGCCAAGGAAAAGACAAATACCATAAACAAAGTGGTGACGGCCAAGAAGCTCGATGGCAAAAATCATGTGGTAAGTGAATGAAAGAAACAAATTAGCAAGTATTGTGTACATGGTACAATAAAAAGGTAAGGTAGAGCTAACAGCTGATTACAATTTTTTTCTAAGTGTGCCCGGCTTCTGCCAATTTTGTGTATATTAATTGTTTTGAAAAATGAAAAAAAAAAACAATATTTTCAAAACTAATAATTGGAAGACACATGAATTGCGGCTCGCGCATTAAAGCTATTAAGTATAGCCATGAAATTGAAAGAGTGAACAGTTAGGATCATATTTTTTAAAGAGAAAAATCCAGACATTTTATTCATTTTTGGCGGTATTTAACTCATTTTAAAAAGAGGAAAAAATGAAAACAATAATTTTGAAAGAGTCTGACAGGAAGCGGGCATAACATCAGGGCTGTATTTTTGTAGTTTTACGAAGCTGTTTTACCTCCCTTTTGTACCATGATTGTGTACATCCATTTTTACATACAAATTACTCCGGGAAAAAATAATATCTTGCTCTGCATATTTCTGTCATTTGCATTGCCAAATTTTATAGGTGTGTTTACACATTTTGATAATGAGATGTTCTCAAAGGCATAATTTTGAAAAAATTGTAAACATATGATTGCAAAGGGTTACCTTCTTAATTCTGCCATGGTATAACTACTTATTTCAGAAGAAGAACCTTGTTAAAATAATAATTTAGATTGATTTTAAATGATTATTTTTCATTTGACGGTTTTTATCAAGGATGTCATAGGGTTTTTATACCCCGCACTATAGTATGGAGGATATATTAACTTTGCCATTCCGTTTGTAACATCTAGAAGTATAGGCCCACAAAGTGTACATATTCTTGATGATCATAAAATTCTATGCCGATTTAGCGATGTCCGTCCGTCTGTTTGGAACTCATTCCAGCTTCCGAACAAAATGAAGTAGATTGATAAAATTTTACTCAAATGTATATTATGTCTGCAGGACTTTTGGTATTGAAAATGGGCAATGTAGGTCCACGTCTTCGTATAGCCCCCATATAACGGTACCCCTCGATATTCGGTATTTTGATGATTTTAGCGACATTATTTACCGGAATTGTTTCAAATTTGGTATCTGAAGTTCGTAATGGATACTACATCCTGAGACTGAAATGAGCCATCGTATAGCCCCCATATAACGGTACCTCCCGATATTGGGTATTCGGATGAATTTAGACACATTATTTACCGGAACTATCTCAAATTCTGTATTTGAAGTTTGTAATGGATACTACAGCCTACGACAGAAAATTGTCTGTGCAGGTCCACGTCTTCGTATAGCCCCCATATAACGGAACCCCCGATATTCGGTATTTTGATGATTTTAGCGACATTATTTACCGGAATTATTTCAAATTTTGAATTTGAAGTTCGTAATGGATACTACAGCCTATGACAGAAAATTGTCCAGGTCCACGTTTTATACCCCCATGGTACCTCCCTATATTCGGTATTTTAATGATTTTAGCTACATTATAAACAGATTTTTTTTCAAGTTTCAAGTTTGAATATTGTAATAGCTTGTGACAAAAGTTGCCTATGCAGGTCCACGTCGTCATATAGACCCTAATATACGGCTACATTCGGTATTTTTAAGATTTTAACAAAATTTTAAATGGTTTTATTTTTTTTTTTTGGAAAATTGTTAAATTTGTACCAAATGGCAGAGGGTATTCAAAGTTTCCGGCTGAACTTACAGCTTTTTTACTTGTTTTTTTTTTCAGTATTTCTTATTAAGTAATTTTGTTTATAATATTTTATTTTTTCATTTTTTTCTCAGATCTTATTCTACGAGAAGGAACTTGGCTACGTTGGTCTTGCCGAAATTGTCTTTAAATTATTGGGAACAGTGGGATTGCTGGCCAAAGAACTTCTCACAGAATTGTATAAACTTGTCGGTTGAACTTTGATATGGAAACACTTTCAAATTTCCCAAAAATTATTTACCTTAAATGGATAATAATGTTATGTATTTAATGATAATCAATATAAATTTGTTTAGTTTAAAATAAATCTATAAAACGCAAACCAATAGTGGAAGTAGTCCTTTTTTACTCTTCACATATAGATCCGGTGTAAAAAGTCCATAATAAAGAATTGTGGACAAAAAAAATGTCTTTAAGGAAATCGTGTATGTTGAAGAAAATTCTTTCTTTCCAAACCCACTCCATAGAGGGTCAAGAGTTTGAAAATTCATAACAGAAATCAAAATATTTAAAAAAAAAAATCGAACATCGGTTGAGGGTATACATCTGTCGGCAAAACCGACCGATGATTTTTTACTTGTTAATATTATTATGTGAAAATCCACACAAAGTAGTTCCTTTCTAGTACATTATCCCCTGCCCCCCTATAACGGATTTCCTTTGAGCATTATTTGTCGATGGAATTTTTTGGAATTGTTCAATTTTCTTCAAAATGGTGAAGAGTATTAAAAGTTCAGCCCGGCCGAACTGAGCTGATTTTCACTTGTTTTTTTTTTTAATCCACATTTTTCACGGGGAGACCTTTAAAAATATTTTTAAAAATTCATGGGAATCATAAATTTCACATTCATCTCAGGATTCTGGATGAGAGGCATATATTTAGATATAGCCAGTTGTTTCGCAATTTATCACAGATAAATATATTGAAAATGTTGTCCCTTTGTGAGTGAGGTACCAGAAGGGATATATAGATATATAGCATTTTTTTTCAAATTTCGACCATTTGTGGGGGAGGTACCAGAAAGAGTGGACAGAGTTTGCTAATCTTAACACCAGACCTTGGGTTTATATAAATATTGGGATGCGTGAAACTTGAAGCCAAATATTAGGACATGCAAAGTATATATTTTTTGAAAATTTCGACATTTTGTGGGGGAGGTACCAAAAGGAGTTGACCGATATTGTCCATCTTAACACCACACCTTGGGTTAATATAAATATTGGGATATGTGAAATTTGAAGACAATCGGACTTTTAGATCACATTTTATGAGAGTTGTAATTATTCAAATCGTTGTGGGGGAGGTACTTGACGGAGTGGACCGATATTGTCCATTTTCGCACCTGACCTAGCACTGATGCAAATATTAGGATTTGCAGAGATGCAAAATCGGATTATCCTTTCATTTTCTGTGTAGTAAAATATTTTCTTTAAATATATCGACATTTTGTGGGGAAGGTAAAAGAAGGAGTGAACCAATATTGCCCATCTCCAAACTCGATCTAAGTTTGATAATACTATTATATAAGAACAAAAGTTTGGACCAAATCGGATACTCCCTTCGACAGTTATCTTGCGCACCAGTCAGACAGACGGACATCGCTATATCGACTCCAAATGTCCTGAAACAGATTTGGACTAAAGGGACCTAGGGTCTAAAACCGTTATTTTGGTGAAGCATGTTTTGGCCTTATCAAATGATTTTTACCCTCTCTAGCCATATGGCTGAGGGCATAACAATTAATCATATTCTGAGAGTATACAGGGTGAGATGAAAAAACTGCAACCAAACACAGACTGCTGTCATTTCTAAGCCACTCGTCCGACAGACGTTAAAATTATTCCAGTGACAGCTCATTGTATTGTTTACAAGCGTACAAAAGCATTTTGGTGAGAATTTTCCAGAAAAAAAGTTATTAGTGATGGAATTCAAGCGTGATAGTGTGATTTCTTTATATTTGGCTGGAAAACCACAAGTGGCTATCGTTAGAGCACTCCAGCATTTAAATGTGAATAAATCTTTTGTGTCTCGTACCATCGCTCGTTACCGTGATACTGGTAGCGTAGCCCAGCGACGTCAAGGAGGTGGACGGAAGAAAACAACAACATCAGCTGAAATGGTTCGAAAAGTAAAGAAGCGACTTGATCGAAACCCGCATCGTAATGGCCGAAAAATGGTTCGTGAGCTAAACATATCGCAATATTCCATTCGGCAAATATTGAAAAATTAGCTCGGGGTAAAGCCATTGAAATTTTGAAAAGTGGAAGAACTTACACCGCAACGGAAAGAAAATAGACTTAAAAGTCAAAACATGATGAGAGACACCTGGATAAAAAGACAAAACTAACTTTTCGTTGTCTATATCTTCATTTGTTTATGCCGACTCATACTTGCTTATCACCATTGTGGCCATTTTAGCATTTTTGCAGCTAAATTTAGCATTTATTTATTGCATTTAGCATAAAAATATTCATTTAGCATTTTTCTTAGCTTTTTCAAATTATTAGTTTAGCATTTTTTTGTCCAAAAATATTCTTATATTTTAGTACTTTCTTATAAATCCAATTTTTCTTAAATCTAAACAATTAAATTACATGAACATTTGGAACGATATTTCTATTTTAGAAAAGCAATGGCAAAAGCTAAGTACATATGAATGGGCAAACATAAACTCAACGATTTATTTTTGGATATGCGTATAAGAATTTAAAAATGCTTTAAATAAAAAACCGTTCAAGATTTTATCTAGTTTTAGTTTAGTAACACAGAAGTTGGAAGAGTTTTCAGTGGCATCAACCTTATAAAATCAGAAATTAGAAATAGAATGATCTTATACACCATGAATTCACTTCTTTAAATTAAAAGCGGATTGAAAAGATTAAATAAGTTTGCGAAAGTTTTAAGATTACAAACGATCTCATTCTAATCATCATTCGGTCTCTAATTTTCACGTAGCAGGACTTAATACATTTTAATAAAACCATATAAAATTTATAAACAGATGCTGGACCTTATTGTCCTCCTTCCAAATAACCTTCATGGATCTGGAATCAATTTTTTTTTCAAAAACCTGTCATCTCTAAAAAATGTCATGCTTTGGACCGAAGTAATGCATATTCTTATAAAATTTGCACTATATTAAATCTTAAGAAAAGAGAGTCATGCTAATGGCTATTCAGAACAATATTTGTAAATTGGACATCCAAAATGCTTGGCAGTGCCCATACCAAACCGCCACTTAAAATTTCCTAAGGATCGGACGAAAATTATGACGTGTCAGAAAACTTTCAGTTTTTGGTCCATTTGAACCTGTAAATATTTTGCGAACATCTCCAAAAGCATCAGGCTCCTATCCTAACACTAATCCCATCTCCATCCAACATTTCGTGAGGATTGGGCCATAAGGAATAAAAATATTACAAAATGTAAAATTCAATATTTTAAGTCAAAATGAAAATATCTCATGCGACAAAAATGTGACAAAATGGAAAAATATAAGAAAATATCACCAAATCAATATTCTCATCTTTATTTGGATCTTTTCATTCGTTTTTGTATAGGGGGCATTCTGAATTGACAAGATTTGTCAAAATCGATCCAGCTATTTTTGAGATGTAAGCATTCTAGCGAATATATCTGTGGTCACAAGCAATAACAGCCTAAGTCGAAAATCATACTTTGGAGAAAAATCTCTTTTTATATACAAAGGAGTTTCTGAAAAACTTAAGAAAGAGCATGAGGAAAAATTTTATGCTAAATCAAAGATTATTAAACAGGCAATGCTAAGAATAAAAACGGTAGTGGAAATCTCATGTACTTAGAAGATATTTAAAAAACAAAAACATATATGGTTGTTGCAAATGGAAAATGGGAATTTGCAAAGAGTATCTCGACTTATGTCTTTATTGTAAACTAATATTGCATTTGTTGCCTGACATATATCGAATTAGGCGGGTACTGCATATTGAAAATTTCCTTGTACTGAACTTAGGCCTTTTGATTATTTATAGTTCGTGTTGAAAATAATAAAATGAACTACTCATACATAACAAGTGCATTATTTTTCCATAAATTTTATTTTAAGAAAACTTAACCTAATTACATATGTACATACTTACAACTAAAACCGTTGGAAGGTTAAAATAATATATTCATTCTATGTCTGGCTCATCTTCGACTAAGTCTGGATGTACATCAATACAGTCCTGTGTTTGTAAACTTTTATAAAAAGGATGAAAACATGTGTTTATAAATGGAAGTAAAGCAAGCAGATCTTTTTTCTCGCTGATTTTGACACACTCGTGTAGTAAATATAAGTCGTCTCTCTTCATTGAAATAATACCGCGTTTTACCAAATTTAAAATTTGGAAGGGAGCATTTATATCTAATGTGGTTTTATATTCAATTCTTCCAAAATTAGTTTTTCTATATCGTAGCCATCTAATATTTTTCCAAACAAATCTCTCACCATCTTGATTAGTGTTTCTCCACATTAACTTTGTTTTTAATAATAGCGAAAAATTATAAAAATCTTCTGAATTCATTTCAATGACTTTAAATTTATGTTTAGTACCTACACATCTAACAAAATTGTACCAGTCGTGAGGATGGTGTATTTGAGTGTCTGTCCTTTTCTTTTTCCTTTCTATTACAGAATGATCTACATCGCATTCCATATGTGTGTGTCCAGGTTCTAAAAATTTATGATCTATTGTTTCTAAATTTTGATTGATTTGAAGAGCCAATATGAACATTGCGCATACGAATGAGTTCTTATTTTGTCCCACACAGGAATCGCTATAAAAAATAGTGTGATTAACTTGTTCAAGATTGATTAAAAACTTGAACAAGCACGATGCAATTTGTTGAGGTTTCTTGAATTTTATGTTCATGCCTGCAAAACATTTTCAAGTAAAAACTAAATAATTTCAAGAGATGATTAATGTTAAGCTTACCTTTGAAAACATTAGCGTATGACGAGATGCTTATCGCTTTGGATTTATATTTATCACAATATAACTTATACATTTGAGATAACGACAATTCGGCATGAAAATATTTACAATTTGTATCTCTCCTTGTGTAGTGACTTTCGTAACTTGGGAAGCTGTTTATGTGGTCCGTAATAAGTTGAATTATATCATCCGTCAGCTTATTTTTTCCTGCACCTAATCCACGCTTGTCGCATAACTCATTATGAGGATGATCTAGTTTCTTTTTCAAAACAGATTTCACAAAACTTGTTCTTTCATTAAAGCACTGCAGGAAACATTTTTGGCATACTTGCACTTTTGGCCTTCATAGCGTGGAATTTTCGTTCACGTGGTCT